CGGAGGGGGACTGGCGCCTTGAAACTCGGTAGGCGGGTTCTCGGGAAGCATAACTTTTTTTACGGATGCGCAGTGGCGCCCTCTCTACCCGTTTTCAAAAGTTACAACTACATTTGATTTTTGCCCGGACAAAAACGACCCACCTATGCGGGTGAAGGGTTAATCTTGCATAATTATTCAGATTTGTTCTACAGTGAATTGCAATTCATAATTAGGCGTTTCCAATATGGCAGAAAATATTAATGTTCCTGCAAACGAAACAATAACTATTCCTTTTAGTAGACCATCTATGACACATAAATGCATTATCTGCAAAGCTAAGCTTCTCTGGCTAAACTTCGAGTTTTTGTTAAGCGTGGATTGATAATTCACGGAAAGGTACGATGTTGCAAGAGACATTTAGAAGGCAGTTTTTTTAACGTCACTGATTCAAATTATATTGAAGCAGTTTCTGATACAAGTACATTAAGTGCATCACAGATAACTAACCTGCTAAATGACTTTCGTGCTTGTGTGCAGAGAGGGTTCTTAGATTTAAAAAATCCTGGAGCATTGAGTGATATTGATTACCACCGACTTACCGGAATATCTGGCGCAAACTTCGACAATTTTTTCAGTTATGTAAAAAGTGAAATCCGTAGTACGCTTGCAAGAAGTGCACGTACTTGTATTGCAATTCTTCTTATAAAACTTAGAACTGGACTATCCCACTCAATTCTTTCAACCCTCTTTGGTTTGCCTAGAAGAACAATAGGTAAAGCAATTCACTTTGCTAGAAAAGCACTTTTGAAGTGTTTCGTTCCTATGCATCTCGGTTTGGATCACATAACGAGAGACAATTTCATAAAAGAGCATACTAGGAATTTGGCTAAGGATTTATTTGCAGAAGGCAAAGATGTAGCAATTTTAGTAGCAGATGGGACATATGTTTACATCGAAAAAAGTAGCAATTACTCTTTTCAACGACTTACTCTCTACATAAAGGAAGACCTCTAGTCAAGCCTATGATAATGGTCAGTACCACTGGGTATATTTTAGAAGTATTTGGCCCTTACTTTGCGGATGGGAAAAACAATGATGCAAGTATACTGAACAATTTGGTGAAGCAGACATGTTCTCGCCTTTTGCAATAGATAAATCCTGAAGATGTGCTGATTGTTGACAGAGGATTTTGTGATGTGATTATGACTTTGGAGGGGTATGGATTAATCCCAAAAATGCCAAACTTTTTACAACAAGAAAGTCAACATGATACTTTCAGTGCAAATGAATCCCGACTTGTGACCGCGATACGTTGGGTTGTTGAAGCCGTGAATGGGCTACTGAAAACGTGGAAAATACTCGCCCAAGTTATTCCCAATAGTCAAATTCTTTATATTGATGACTTTGTAAGGATTGTGGCTGCACTTTGCAATGCTTATAGACCGCCAAAAGTGGAAGCATCATCACCAGATGATGAAATAATTGCGCAAAGAATGCTTGCTTGAAGTAGAAAAACGAATGATCTCCAAAAATATATAGAGGACAACGGAGGATTAGAAGGTCAGTATTTGGAGAAAAATTGAAGCGACTTCAATTGCAGATTTTCCACGTTTGACATTGGATGATCTTCACAAAATCACCATTGGGGTATACCAACTAAAACAAGCGTCATCTTATGCTAGAGAACATATGTCGGATGAAGGTAATTACGTTCTCTATGTGCACCAAGAAGAATCGGACATTTTAAGAGTCAAACTGCAATCACAGCATACATCCTCAAAACAATACCAACTTTGGATTCGGTACGAAAGAGACAGTTTTGACCCTATAAGAGGCTGGTACTGCCAATGCAAAAATAGTGCGCGGACGGTAGGATGCTGCGCACACATTGCATCCATATTGTGGTACCTAGGTTATGACAGGCATCAAGTAAATGTACCACGATATCATAGTGACGTGTACCCGGATTATTTGTTAGACGCAGCCACTTGGTCGGAGATCGACGAATCAGAAGAAGAAGAAGATGAAGAAGAAGAGCAATAATTCAAGCACCCCAAAAAGTGAGAGGCAAGGGGACTCACCTTAATCAAGCACCCCAAAAGGTGAGAGGCAAGAGGACTCACCTTAATCAAGCACCCCAAAAGGTGAGAGGCAAGGGGACTCATTTTTTAAATCAAGCACCCCAAAAAATGATAGGCAAGGGGACTCACGTAAATCCAACACCCCACTCTACGTGGCTTCTTAAAGGAAGATCGTATTTACGATTTTACTGTTCACGTGTGGAGAATAAACAAGAATAAATAATATGATTTCAATCTCGGATCTTCTTAAGTAACGTTTCTACAAATCTATCTGTAAGAAGCCTCATAACTCGCAAAGTACTTAATAAAAAATGACTTAGTTATAAGTGTTTTGGAAAGCTCTCGAGATAAGCTACAAGATATGTAAAAAAATAGGGGGTTCTATGTATATAAAATATTGAAATAAACATTCACGTGACCTTCAAATGACTATCCAAAACCAATGACACCATTTTATGTCCCCCTTGAAACCATACAACTTTTATCTGAAACATTTTTCTCAAAAACGCTTAGTTTTCCAAAAAAATGCTTGATACGGGTGCGCTGATGCACCATGTATACTTGAAGTATACACTCTAAATACTTCCGTTTAGGCTGGAATTGACTAAATATTACTTATACAAGGGTATAAGGAAGTGATTCCAGCCATTTTGGTCCAATTTGGAAGAGGTGCCGAAAACAGGCCTTAGGGACCCTCCTCTTTTGTCTAATTTTTTGGGGATGGTGTCGATGGGTTTAATTTTTCATTAATGGATCGATTTTCTTGAAACCGATGCCTAATTTTTTAAAAAATTTTTAGACCGCGAAATACTCCTTCATAAATGAATCGATTTTCTTGAAAACGGACCAAAATTTATCTAATTTTTCGGGCATGGCAACGATTGGTTTCATTTTTCACAAAAATGTTTTTTTGGAAACCAGTTTTGGGAAACCGGTTCCAAATTTTTTCTAATGTCTGTCTATCTGACCGCGAACTACTCATTCATTAATGGACCGATTTTCTGGAAACTGGTACCAAAATTTGTCTAATTTTTTGGGGATGGTGTCGATGAAGAATAAATTAATATGAGAAAATCTCCATGCAACCCTCCATGCACGTAAGCCTCACTTTATAAATTATAAGTTATAAAGCGAGGTTCATGCCTCTCAATACTTAAAATAACTGCTATATTTTCCAAACCTTTTTTTGTAAATAACTTTTCAACGAATAACAACCGCCGGCTAAAACCTTTTGAAGGTCACTTAGGAGAGTGACCTTGATAACATATGTCAAGGTCAAGGTCAAGGTCATGTGGGGAAGCTCACGGAAGGTATACTTGTGATTCCCGGGGCCTCCCCAAAAAAGCGTCGTGAGAGACATTCGAGGGGGTTTTTAGTGGGTTAAAGTCCCACATAACCGCTTTCCCCACCCCGGGGGAGGGGGTATCCGTGTGGATTTTCCCCTCATTATAAAAAAAAGTCAAGGTCATCGGTGATGTTCGACCTTTTATGCATATTTACCGAAAATAAAAAGAACAATAAAATAAAAAATTGGCCCTCATACAAAATTGTCTAAAAAAAAATCCCTTTAAAAAAAAATTTTTTTTTTGGGGTAAATATTATTATTTGGGGAAAAAACATTGTCTAATAAATTAGCCCGTAGAGGATTTTGGGAAGGAATCAAAGCGAGGGGAAAAGGTCTGCTGGGAAAGAATGTTTATTAGCATCAGTTGCGTTTAGAATTTGATGATCAATTTAACAGTCGTCTGTCGTCACCTATAGTGAACGCACCACCGAATTTCACGTTTGTTAATATGACTCGCATATCTTTTATCGCCTTTGACACACAAAACATGTAAACGTTGCTATTTTATTCCTGAGTTTACTCTTCGTACGTCATTTTAGTTTGTTAATTTATTATTTTACTTTTTTTTTTGTATTTTAGTTCGTAGACTCATTGCTGCCACATTGTGTATAATGAAGTGTTTTGCAAGCGTTAATTTATTGTACGCACTTGAGAAGGACCGGAATCTCGGTTGAAACGCGTTGTGTTTGTTAAATAAATATTAGCCAGTTTGGTCGCAGCAAAGGATTTTTGTAATTTCACTACTCACTGGCAAAGTAAAAGTATTTAATATTTTCATATATAATCACATATAATCATATATATTTATATATAATTATGTATAATTATATATAATCCTTTTTTCCGGGTTGATTAGACCCAGCTTTATACGCGATCAAAGGTCCATATGTGAAGTCCATATATAGACCATGTAGCCTAAACTTCCAAAGCTACGGGAGATTCCAGGTTCAAACTCTGGCTGGGATAATCTCAATAAAATTTAAAAACTATTTAATTTAGAAATTCCAAAGTTAACATCGATTTGACATTGCGTCGATTGTAAAACCTCACTTGTGCTACTAAGCTAACCCTCTATTAATTCATAAAAAGGTTAAAATTAAAAATAGTGTGCAAATTAGAAACTTGCACATTGCTTCCTCATCATTGCAGATCGCTACCATTGCTCCTATTTTATTTTGCTTATAAAGTTTCCTCTATGAAAAAGCCAAACTAATAAATACTAATAATTATGCATCAAATAAAATACAAGCTTCCTCATAAGAAGAGCTTTATGAGCTAAATAAAATAGGAGCAATAGTATTGAATGATTGCTTCCTTATCTGTAATGATAAGGAAGCAATGTGCAAGTTTCTAATTTGCACACTTTTTCTTACTATTTAAAAAATGTATAAAATTATTAAATTTTTATTAAAACATGACGCAGGTTAAATTAACAGTATATAGCACGTACTTATATCAAGATTATTCTAATTATACTCACGCTCAAATACAATTACTGTAGTTTACTTTTATTTTAAATGTGAAATATTTGCCTGTAAACTAAAATATTTAAATAAAAAGTTTTAAATAAAAAAAGATTTTCATAAACATACCGATATTGTTGCTTGCCAAAGATAGCACTTTGATAGCACGTGGTCCTTTCAAAGAAGCGGTAGGCACCGTAGTCAAATTGTTGCCATCGAGATATAGTTCTTCCAAATTTACGCATCCTTTTAATATTCCTTCCTCGATGCTCCTAAGCCCATTTCTGCTAAAATCGAGTATCCTGAGCTCTTTCATGCCATGGAATTCGTTACTGGAGAATATCGGATTTAAGTTGTCGCCCAAAAGATTGTCAGCGAGTCGCAGTTCGCGCAGTTCACTTTGCGTCTGTAGCAAGCGATCCATCAGCCGATAGATCGAATTGCTCGACAGGTCGAGTCTTTTAAGATTCAAATCGGAATTAATGATATTTTCCGGTAAGATTTGGTGACCACAGTTCCTTTGACTAATTGATACGACCGGTTGACCACGTAAATTGTTTCTGGTGTCACGCGTGAAAATTACCCGGTCGCAATTCATCTCAATCGATCGTGGATAATCCACGGATACGGCACACTTGCAAGGTACCACGAGATCTCGCTTCAACTCGACGCAAGGCTTCCATTGTGCTTGATTCAACGGAAGAATGCTTGACAACAAAAGAGCCGATAATGGATATGAGCTAAAAATAACAAGAATGGAAATATGAATAAACAAATGTATATGTGAATATACCCTGTTGCAAAAGACCGATAGAAACTTCTAGACAGCGATAGAAAGTCTATCAGATTCCATCTGGTTTATCAGTACAACAAAATTGAGACTTTGACAATTGATTTGGATTTATCGGAATCTATGAGCACGCGGTCACTATGAGGATAATCTGTTACGGAATGTATCCGATTCTATTGTTTTCATGTGCATGATGGATTATATTAAGATTTACGAATGTGCGATTTATTGGATTCAAACAGCATCGACACACTGATCGACAGCTGTGTATACTTATATGCAGTTATCGATTTTATTTGAATATTTTTCTATACGTATTTACATATGTTGTAAATTGATAGGTTTTGAACATACTTGACTGTTTGGAAGCGAATGCGCATTAATACGAAAAGTCCACAATTTGTTTCCATCAGATCTTAGTGGCAAAAGCTTATCCATAATGAAAGTACATTTATATCGTCTTATGAGTAAATACAGATATGTAAAGGACTAATTTTTTATAAAAGTGAATCTGGCAATCCAAGGACAAAAACACACAGTTTTCTGATAGAAATTTACTCTTTTAATATGAATCAAGCAGATTTTCCAGATAGGTCTGCAGCAATTGGCATTTACTAGTTGATATTTAATGTGGCATTGCAGACACAATATAAAATATTTATAAGATTCTATCGGAATTTTCAAATTTTGAGATTTTTAAGTATGACGTTGGATATATCAGTCATTTCTGATACGTTTATGATATACCTTTAGATGTTATTAAAAGCATTTGCTGATACGAATTTTGACTTTAACATATCATTTTGTAACAAATTGTTCTTATTAGATTTTATATGCATTCTCTAAGTATACTATTCATTGTATTCAATAGGATGATCTAATGATTTCTTTTTATCGGAATCTATGAGATAATTCCGATTGAGTGAAAAGATAT